TGGGCCAGGACCCCTTCTGGGTGCATCTGGGGAATGAATAGATGGGGGTGTGGTTCTGGAATAAGGGAGACAGCCTCAGATACCAGCAATGTGTTTACTTCTCTACTGGAGGGTTCCTTCCCAGGACTCCAGAAAAGAAGGCACCTCTTTATACTCCTGAGAGCATGGATTCCCAGCCCTCTCATCCTCAGTCACTTCTATGCAGAGAAGACGCCCGTGGGACCCTGATAGCTGCATAAGAGAAAATATATTCCCTGCCCCAAGGTTAATCAGAGAGAAAAAGGCAACACCTGCCTCACAGGGGAAGGGGCAGGGACCCTGGATTCAAGAATATCATAAATAGTAAAGAATCTTCTTATAAGCTGAGAGTTGACGTGGGGGCTCTATGGGTCAAGGAGAATACTAAAGAGAGTACTTTTCTTAATCTAGAAAGCTTCAAGAAAGGGAACTTAAGTTAAAAAAACTGCAATGGACATTTCAGTCATATAGCTCTTAATGACCTAAATGGGAATTCTGTGGTCCTATTGCAGCATGGGGGTTAAGGGTACAGACTGTCTCGTCCGACAGGCATGGGTCAGTGTTCTGTTCCACATTCAGTGAATCTGTGACCTGGCTGTGACCTTAACCTCACTTATATAGTCGGGGGACACAACACAGCCCCATGCCTGGGAGTGCTGGGACAAGTCATCGTGAGGTAATGCACAGAAAAACTCGACACAGTGCTGGGCACACAACAGGTGCTTTATTAATGCTGGCTTCTACTATTACTTTTAATCATCAATATTGCTTTGGGGGTGGGGGAAGGGCTCCTTTGTATCTTAAATAAATCTTCAAGATACAGGGAAGATCCAAAGGGTAGATCAAATCATCCTGTTTCCCATGGGCAGAAGGTTGGCTCATTCACTCGTCAAATTTTTCTGGAGCACTTACTATGTCCTAGGTGTCACACGAAGCCAGCTGTTTGATGACGCATAATGTCTGGTGAGGTCACTAATAAAACAGATTTGAGAAGACTGCATTTAGAGTATTCGGTAAATGTCAAATAATTGCATGACAGGAAACAGGACTGTGACAGTGTCCTGTTGGAGCCACAGCAGATGGCCAGATCCCCTTCTCTGGTTAGCTCTGAGGAGTCATGTCATTTCTGTAAATTCTTTATCAGTAATTTGGATATTACATCTATAACATAAGCATCTGTTGCTGTTTATGTCTCATGTGCGATTAATTAATTGTTCATAAAAGAATACCCGATGTGGCTTTGTCATACAAAAGGTATAAACATGTTATTTTTATGAGACTCTTTGGGCAACCCCCAAAGCCCTTGTTAGTCAATGTCTTTCTTAGTCAAGAGCTATGTGAACTGCAAGAGAGGTTGCGAGCCTGAAGGGAGAGGTCATTATTATTCCACTTTGGAGCTGGTAAGCATGAATAATTGAAGGGTCATAGCTGCAAAGGAACAAATGTCAAAAACAAATTGACAACTATTTTTCAAGCCAAGTTTGGTTCATTTTCAAAAGGTCATTTTTCTTGAAGGAAGTTCTGAAATCTTAACTTCCCATTTTTACATTTCACATGAGCTCCAGGAAAACACATTTTTAATAAGTGTTAAGGGTGCCGTGCCCATGGTAATTGATATTCAGCAAGTATTTACGGAGGAACTGTGCAGAGCTGTCCATTTCTCCATCCAGTTGAACGGCACAGAGCACAGGACTGCCTCCTGCTGGCTGGTTGGCTCTGCTGGAAGCCAGGCTGTTCCTTTAAGATGGCATTTATACACTTGAGACACGCTGGCTGAGCAGAAACTGTGGCTGTGATACAAACTTGTACCAAATCAAGTAGGGACTCAAGGGCCAGGTATAATGGGTACACTTACTTTTGTGTGGCCTGGGGCAAGTTAGAATTATGTATTGGTCAGGCCAACTTTCCCTGCTGTTAAAATGCAGTCATGCCTCCATGGAGGGGCTGTGGTTCAGCACATCACTTCCCTGCTCTAAGTCCCTGTGTCCATGTGTAAAATGGGATAATAATAGTACCTACACCTAGTCGGCTATGAGAGTTAAAGTGCACATGTAGGCCTGGGTCACAAGCAGATGAAATAAACGTTAGCTATGATTGTTTTTATCCTAGAGGTCCGAAGATGGGAGATCCCTTTCCCTGTGAACCAGCCTTCCAAGCCACCTTCACATCCCAGTGCAATGGTCCTGCAGGGAAGCACTGGCGTGGAGGAAGCCTGGGTGCTAATCCTAGCTTGGGCTCTGACACCTGACCTTGGGCAAGGTCAAACTGAGGGGGTTGGACTACAACAGTGTTTTTAACTGGTTCATCAGAGTCCCAGGGCAGGGCTCTAAGACCCTCACTCCATCTTTAGCCAGAGCAGTTCTCCTTTTCTCTCTTTTATATACCAGGATTCCACATAAAATTTCATTGGAAAGAAAAGTTTTCACTGCTTATAAATAAAGTTTAAGAGCCACTGCATAATGTGACCTGTAACTGTTTAATTGCTAAAATATATGGATCTAAGTTTAATACTCTCATTGTTGAATTTTAGAAATATACCTACTATACTAAAAAAATTGGAATTAGGGAGAAAACTGAAAGTCAGAATTCAATGCATTACCTTACTGTTTTTTTTTCAAGGTCGTTACAAGAAATGACCAGTTGAAGAACATTTCTCTCCTTCCTTTCCTCCCTTTCTCCCTTCCTGTCTTCCTTCCAGTAAGAATTCAGAGTATCTAATACACACCAGAATTTAGCTACTTAGGCCTTGATGAGGATGTCTCAATAGAAGAATAATCTTTAAATTCCTGGTTTTATACAAATTATTTTTTTTTGTGTGTGGGTAAACTATCTACTTGGTTCAAAACCAAAAGTATAAAAACAGTGGTTGGTCTCTGGGGACAGGCTACTTGGATTCAAATCTCAGCTCTGCTAATGACTACTGTGTGACTTGGGGCAGGTTATTCAAGAACTGTGCCTCAGTTTCCTTAGCTTTAAAAAACTACTACATACACAGAAATAGTACCTTCCTCATGGTGTTGCTGTGAGGGCTAAATGTAACAACTTAATACAGTGTCTACCATATAGTAAATGCTAATTTAATCATATTATGCAACAGAAACCCACAAAAGGTCCCAGACTGCCCACAATCGTGTCTCCCTTTTCCTTCTAATGATATAAACTGGATAATTGAATGTATTATTTTTCTTTAACAAACACTTTGTAGGAACAGATGAAAATATTATCTTGGTATTTTCGTAAGTATGGACTGTATGCTTTGTTGTCTAAAACTAAGCCAATAACATGTAAAGATTAACCAGATAGGAAACACTAGTTTTTGATAATATTAATTAGCTACAAACCACCCAAACGTATTAGAAAAGGGGAAAAGGACCACTGATAAAAATCAAGAGTGATGCGCAGAAGGGGTGCCAGAACTGGTTAACATCAGCCAGAATATTTTTTATCATTCTCTGAATTTAATTTGTTAACTTGCCTTCAATGGATGTTCTGTTTATTTTCAACATAATTGAACTTCTGCTGTCAAAACATCCCTTTGCAATGGCGACTTTAAGACATCCTTTCAGCCACTTGTCACTAATATATCTATCTATCTATCTATCTATCTATCTATCTATCTATCTATCTATATCTATATCTATATCTATATCTATCTGTCTGTCTGTCTGTCTGTCTGTCTATCTATCTATCTATCTATCTATCTATATCTTGGGTGCCTTTGCTCAAGGACCGCACTCTCGGCTCCTGTGCCTTATTTAGGATGCTTAACATAACATATTATTTGTTCCCTCACAGCAAGGTTCCTTCCTGACAGCCAAGATTCTATTTTTCTGTCATAAGTAATTATGAATGTATACTTCTAAAAAGATTCCCAATTTGAGGGGCATAATCTATTTCAGATAGTAAATCACACAGACATCTCTATCCCTTAGGCGGCCAAAATGCACAACTCAGATGTATGAGCTTTCACTCTGAATTCTCCATACCTGAAGAAAAATGGGACGCTCCGCTTTCTCCCTGGGGCAATCAGGAAAAAAAAGAAACAAAATCCCAAAAAAACTGGCACCTTTGTTGGAGCAACTCATATTGTTTTTTTTAAAAAATCTCAGATACAGAGCTTCCATCTTTTAAATCCAACTCAGAAAACTGTCTCAGGGAGTCCCATTCTTAGGTGATTTGTCATTCTATACGCACTTGAGATCCCCCCATCCCTCCCATCTGAAGTCCTCTGTTTCCACCAAAGATACTTTTCGTGCCTCCTCTATCCTCCTGACAAACATGTTCCCTAGTCACAACCAAAAACTAATGGTTCACCTTCACGGCTCTCGCCAACAAAGGGAACTCCAGGCAAACGGTCACTGCTGCTTCCTTCCAGCTTTTCAGTTACTAACACCACGTAGTGTAGCTCTATGCTGACCTTTGCTTTATGTCAACTATAACTGAAAACAAACAAACCCCAAATAACACCCCTAAGCCCCCGTATCTCTGTATTAATAAAACACGTATCTCAGTGATGCTGGAATATTGGGTCTGCTTTATAATAATACCAACAGCTAGCAGGTGGTAGATACTATTCCAAGTGCTTCCTGTATAGCATACTTCATTGAATGTTTATGAAAAACTTTCGGGGGGGTAGTATTTTATAAATGTGGTAACCAAAATTCATAAAGGTCACACAGCAGGAATTGGTGGAGCTGGAACTCAGATGAAGGTCAACCTGACACCAAAGCTACGCTCTTACTCCTTAAACAATAGTTTGCCCTGGGACTAACCTTTAAACAAACAAAGACAATTTCTCTTATATTCTTTTGAGCTGCAAAGAACCTATCATACTGTAAAATGAAGCCCTAGTTACTGTATCATTTTGGGTGTGTGAACCTAAGTGAGCAAAATTTAATAAAAACAGTGGCATCTCAAAGTGACTGATTTTCTCTATTTATAGTTAATTACTTTTATATGCATAGAATGTTTCATATTCCCACCTTGAGCACTCAAACTTCCAGAAGAATCCTGCTGCTGCTCAGCTGGCTGTTGACTGGGAGGGACAATGGGTGGACTCAGCATATTTAACCAGTCCCTAAAAAGAAAAGAAGAAAGTAAATGAACACACATGTCTGTAATTCCACATACAGGCTTTACTTTTCCCCTGGATTATTAATTCCTTGGGGCTTCCACAAAGAAACATTTTTCCTCCTTCCTATTTCAGAAAGATTAAGATTTCCAAAAATTCATATTCAGTTTTATAAATCAATTAATATAGAGTCAATCACTTAACTAAGTACAGAGCAGCATCCTGATAAAGCCATTGTAAACTGAAAACACTGTAAGTAAAAAATGCATTTCATACCCCTAACATATCGAACATTATAGCTTAGCCTAGCCTACCTTAAACGTGCTCAGAACACTCACATTAGCCTAGAGTTGGGCATAATCATTTAACACAAAGCCTATTTTATGATAAAATGTTGAATACCTCATGTAATTTATTATGCATATTGCTTTCAAATCATTGTAAAGTTGAGAAATCATAAATTGAGCCATCATAAGTTGGGGATTGTAATTGTTCGATAAATACATCAACTAAATAAAGATGACATTCTCAAAAGTTTATTATTGTTGACATTAAACTGTAGCACAGTTCTTCTCACATAAGAAAATTATTTCAATAACTCAGAAGAAATGCAGCAGAGACACAGCTCCTTATGACCTCTGGGTAAGAAAGCCTGATGGAGTCACATGTCACATGTCACGAACGACAACATTCCACATGGTGATTCAAACTAGAAGTTCGTCTTGGAGCTCTCATGGACCAAGTGTAATGGTGGGAGTCAGTATGCACTAATTCAGAGCTTCAGAGCAGCGGAGGGCAAAAGAAGGGGGTGAGGGAAGGTGAGGGGAGCTGGGCTTGAGTGACTCACTACTTCAGTTCTCCCATTACAAACAGGGACAAAGCCACTCCAGAAAGCACCTCCTACATTCCCTGTTCCTCTTCCTCTGTCTTGCATACCTCATTTCCCAATCTCTTTCCTTTCCCTCCTCCTCCATTTTTTTCCAGTCCCCTGCTCCCTCTAGTGGATACCTAGGGTGTGTGTGTGTGTGTGTGTGTGTGTGTGTGTGTGTGTGTGTGTGTGTGTGATGCAAGTGGGTGACACCCAGAACGCACGAGTCACTCTGCCTTCTACTTCAAGCCCTTCTCTTCATCACTAAACTTGCTACTGAACTTCTTCAGGAGAAGGGAGCAAGCGAGGGTATGGGAAGAGTTTTCCGACATGAATTCTATTTCTTGCATTAATATAACACCCTATACCTTATTCTACTCAACAGGATTATGTCCTCATGACTCAACAATTTCTTTCTAAATTTCTGTATGTCCTACTGTCTTTATCTACAATGGGAGATAGTCCCAACTAAGAGCCCTGACTCTCCAGCGCCATGTTTCTTAACATAAGAACTTGACCAAGTCACTTAACATCATAAATCTCAGCTATTAAAAAGAGGTAATAGCAGTACCTCAAAGTTTTGTTGTTAGGATTAAATGAAAAAATGGATGAAAAACATTTGGCATGGATTTGGGTACAGAGTTGCACTCAATAAATTTCAGTTATGACCACCACCATCTTCATTATCAATGAAGATCATTCTGTGGCTTTACATACAATGATACACCAAGGTAGGAATTGGATTCTGTTAAAATTAAACCAGTGAAAGATGGTAGAAGGCTTACAAGTCTATGCAGTAGAAGTTTTCCTTGGAAGTCATTCACTCTGCTTGTATAAAAAGTATCTTAATATAAAAAATTACCCATTTCCTATTTGTAATATTTTAACAAACTTTCAGTCACTGCTCACCTCAGCTATCACTAGATTATGGCTAGTGAAATAAGCAAGGTGCATGTGCTGTGTAATTGAATTTCATAAAAACACATTAAGGACACCAAAAAGGACTTGTCACAGACTTGCAAGCTAATGGAACATTTTCTGATAAGTGCTTTTTATTTAGTCCACTTAATTATGGTAGACCAAAAATTCCTACATTATACAAAATTACAAGGTCACATACAAATTACCAGCCCTGTGGCCTCATTACTCAGTAAGAATGATGGAGGGCAAGGATGAACAGGAGAAAAATAATGTTAGCCTATGATGACAGCCCCAGAGACAAATTAGAAACTCTACACAATGGCAGTAGAAGCACCTACTCATCGTCCATGGACATGGGAAAAAATGTAGGTGGGGGTTGTTGTATGATTGTTACAAAAGGCAAGATATTCACCTGTTAGGCCAATGATTTGATTAACGTTTTTCCTTCTCAGCAGTAGCTATGAAAAGTATAGAGATCTTCTTTTTGTGATTTTTTTGTTTAAAATAATTTCAGATTTATCAAAAAGTTGCAAGAAGAGTACAAAAAAACTCCTACATATCCTTCACCCAGAGTCCCCAATTTAAACACTTTATCACATTTGGTATCTGTCTATCCATCCATCCATCCATTGATCCATCCATCCATCCAATCATCTATCATTTTTCTATCTAAACAGGGGTTGGCAAACAATGGAGCATGGGTGAAGTCTGGCCCACTGCCTGTTTTGTACAGCCTGCAAACCAAGAATGCTTTTCACGTTTTTAAATGTTTGAAAATATTTAAAATAATGTTTGATGACATATAATTACATAAAATTCAATTTTCCACACCCATAAATAAACTTTTATTGGAATACAGACATATTCACTTGCTTATGTATCATCCAACTATGGCTGCTTTTATGCTACAATGACAGAGTTAGGTATTTATCTGGCTCTTTACAGGGCTGATACTGATTTCTCCAATACTAATACAATACCACATATTTGTTCTCATCTCTCTTCTTTCCATACTTGCAACTCCTTTCTGACAGTGAGAAACCTGGCTCCCATTATCCTCAACATATTTACTTATTTTCAGAACTACAGAACACACCAAAAGTAGTTTTAGAATTGCTAAGCAAACAAAACAAAACAACCAATAGAAAACTCCTAACCTACTCTCTAGGGTTCTCTGTTTATAATTCTTTTTATTCTTTAGTCAAAACATTATGTTCAAAATTTACTTAGGTTAGTCATTCCCTCTCCCACCTTCAGTGTAGTTATACAGAAGGTCTCCAACTTATGATGGTTCGACTTAATGATTTTTTGACTTCATGATGGTGCAAAGCGATAAACATTCAGTAGAAACCATCCTTCGAATTTTGATCTTTTCCTGACCAGCGATACATGGCGCCATACTGTCCTGTGATGCTGGGCAGCGGCAGTGAGCTGCAACTCCCAGTCAGCCATGTGATCACAAGGGTAAACAACTGATACTCTACAGTGTATTCACTGTGTTAGATGATTTAGCCCAACTGTAGCAAATGTAAGTGTTCTGAGCATGTTTAAGGTAGGCTAGGCTAAACTATGATATTCAGTAGGTTCGGCGTATGAAATGCCCTTTTGACTTATGATATTTACGATATTGGGACATTAACCCCGTTGTAAGTTGAGGAGCATCTGTATTATTCATTCGAAATACAGAGTCATCAGCTTTGGTTTGTATTACATTTTAGGGTTTTTTTCTCCATTCTTCTTGATTTTGCTCCCGCTCTTTGTTCCACCATTTCTGTACTTGCCTAGTCCTCTGTACTTGATCCCATGTTGGCTGCTTTCCTCAGCTCTGGCTATAATCTTTTCTCCCAAGGAGAGACTCTCTCTACCTGTTATGAAAGCTTCTAGCTCCTTGGTGGAGAAGTATCCTTTTCAGTCAAGCCTGTTCTCTGCATGCTCAGGTGCTTCTCCGTCTTCCTCCTTCCTCTTCTTGACCCAGGCAGGCCTCCCACCCTTGCCTCTCCTCTTAAAACTGGAGAGTCAGGACTTCTAGGCATACCCACGCATGCTGAGTACTAACACCAGAAGATGTGTTTTATTCAAGAGTTAAGACAATGGATTCACATTAAATAGCACATAGAAAAATACTGTGTAGATAAAGAATAAATATCATCTTGTGAATTTTCACAGTGGCCAGGTTTATCTAATATTAAAATCCTGGCCAAGAAAGAGCATTGACGGAGTCAGATATTTTTATAATTGCGGATAATGTCTTCAGTGAAGATAAACTATGGTTTTAGTTCCTTCATTTAAAACAAGATTTTGTTTGCAAGACAATTAATTTTACAAACATTTATTTCATTAATGTGTTTCCTATAAATACATTATGTATGCATACACACATATACACATATACACAAATACATGATATGAGACCAACAGTTTAATCATCTCTCTACATATACTGTAACCATTTACTGAACTCCTGTGTGCCAAGATCCTGGGGAAGCAAAGAGCGCAGAGTCAGATTGAAGAGGCACGCGAGCCAACAGAAAATGACACGAGAACACGGGCTGTACGCAAAGGCTGCTGTGGGCTGAGCTGACCATCCATTTGTTGCCTTGAAGGAATCCCCTTGTAATGAAAAGTATCTACGATCTTGTATACATTTAAATATTTATTTGGAGGAGTAATTCCTTGAGAAATCTAAACCATGGCAATAATTATATAGCTCTCATTTACAATACTGAGCTACCTGCTATCATAAAGCTCTGGGTCAGGGGAGCCTGCCCAGTGAAATACTTATACAGGAAATCTTATATTAGGAATTTAGCAATTTCTAGTTAAGACTTAATGATATTTATCATTTGGAACCAGTGTACATTTCTTATTCACTCAAAGAAGTTTGGGTTTTAAAAAATCTATGGCCAGGGAACAGACTGGGGAGTGGACTGGGAAATATCTTGCTTTGGGGGGTAATTCACAGATTCTTTTTAAAAGCTGGTGAAAACTGTTTCCCCAGAAAAATGTACATAAATACCAAGTTTGACTTCTAATTTCAGGAGGTCAGAGATCATCTAAAGGCCATTTGTGGACTCCTGGATGACCAAATTAAGAACATCCATGGGTTGGACTATCATGGAGGCAATGTTTCTAGTAGTGGTAAACCCACGGTTGGTAAAGTTTTTCTGTAAAAGGCCCTATAGTAAATACATTAGGCTTTACAAGCCATGAGGTCTCT